AAAAAAAAAACTTCATCTTACCTGTGCTGTACCCAAACGTATTTGTCGTACCCGGTATGTATTTGGCACACTCAGTACGCATACCGCCATATCGGTACGTGTACCTGCATTCGATATGTACCTGGTACTCGTACGACACTATGTTTGGAGTACCAGTGCTTCATAGTCTTGTACCAAGTTAAAAGAAGCATACTCGAAATTAGTCTCCAATCCATACAACACAGACCGAAGTTGACAATCAAAGCCCAAGTCCTTCTTCTTCTTCGATTAGTCGATTAATTAAGGACATGTCTGCCATCTTTAGAAGCTTCAAGAATGCTTGCATGATGAGCAAGCTATCTGATCCAACTTGATGGCTTTTCCCAGCCACATAATCAACACCAAGTGCCTTAGCCACCCTCTCCAATCCACCATTCAATCCATTGCAATTCCTCATCAAGTGCTTTATATCATATACATCCCCACCAAAGTAAAAATATACAATATAAATGAAAGTTTCAAGGTTCTCAGGCAACTCTCTGTCCATCAACATTTTTATCAGAAGCTTAGTCGGAAGCTTGCGATATTTGACATACACAAGGTCAAACATACTCTTTAGAGTTGGACTTGTGAATCGATTCATGGAGGCACCAACCATGACACACTTGAAAACAGCCAAAAGGATTCTTTGCTACATAAAAGGTACTCTTGATTTCGGCTTATTCTATTCATCATATAATAATTTTAAACTTGTTGGATACAGTGATAGTGGTTAGGGTGGAGACTTGGTTGATCGAAAGAGTGCAATCGGGTTCTTGTTCTTATTGGAAGACAGGGTTTACTTGGATTTCGAAGAAGCAACCAATTTTTACACTTTCCACTTGTGAAGTTGAATATGTGGCTGCCCCATCATGTGTTTGTCATGCAATTTGGCTTAGAAAACTTCTGAAGGAGCTCAATTTCATGCAAAAGGATGCAACACAGATTTTTGTAGACAACCAATCAACTTTTGCAATAGAGAAAATCCAATATTTCATGACTGTAGCAAGCATATTAACACAAGCTATCACTTCATCAGAGAATGTATGGGGGGAAAAAAAAGAAAAAAAAAAAAGAGGCTCAATTGAAATTTATAAGGTCACATCATCAACTCGCCAACATTCTCACCAAACCTGTAAAGCATGAAGTCTTTCAGAAATTGAGGAATCTCCTTGAAGTTACAAAATCAAGTTTAAGGAGGGATATTGGATCATAAACTTGTTTTGGGCCAAAATAATGCCAGCGATAACAAATAGATCCATGAAAGTTCTAGAATATATATTCAGAAATATCTAAGAAAGTCTAAGCTAAAATATCTAGATATTTTGTATTGTTGGCGAGTTTATCCCTATCTAGAAATTAGTCACACATTATAATCTATAAAGTGATTAAGAAAATATCTTGTAATAAATATCTTAAGTCTAGAATCATCCATTGATTAGTATAAATAGTGATGGTGCCTAGCCATTTTGTATAAGCTAAAATTTTTTGAAACCCAAGTTCAATACAAGAAGTGTTTCATTACTTCTTATCTCTTTTGTCTTATTCCTCTTCCTAAGTTTTATTTACCCGAACAAAAAACCTTCTAGTTCCAAATTAACATGTTGACATTCAACTTCATGAGGAATGTTAGAGGAAGAAAGAGAAGAGTGATGATTGTCAGACAAGATGATCGTCGGACAAGACGATCGTCTCGGGAAATTCAATATCCATTGCAATGTTTGGATAATTGTCATGAACTCGTAGAATCAAATCAAACTCAAAACCTAAATTCTCAGTCCAAACATCACGAACCATCACAAATTTTTCTAAACTAAACATTATGAATTTCTTTAAACCTAACAATATTTTTTTAGACAAAAAAGAAAACAGAGTTTACAATTTTTTATGTAGAGAATAGTGTGTGGATGCGTGTATATATGGTAAAGTAGTTCGGTACAAACCTATTAGGGTTTTAAGAAAACTAGAGTTTCATTTAGGTAACTTCCTAGTGGATCACCTATTTGAAAACAGGTTATCTATAACATATATAAAAAGCGGAAATTCTATTTCCATACACCTAATTAGCTCAAAGCACACACTTAATAAAAGTTTATTTTAATGACAATTATATCCTAAATAAAAATGACCATAATTGACATCAAGCAACACTCATAATATTATATGGAAAAATTCTCTGTATACCTCTTCCACCGTTGCCGCCACTGCCGCCACCTCCTCTGCTAGCACCCTTTTCTCACTCCTTCATTCGACTACAATTTCTAGTAAGCCCTCCCACCTCTGTCTCAATGTATTTTTCCCTTGTATGTTGCTTCCCTTGATCTCCATTCTCTCTCATTCTTTCCTACCAATTTCTGAATTGTTCTCTTTGCTGGTTTAGAAAAAAAAAGCTTGGTAAGGATTAAGAAAAGAAATGTTTGTAACGGGACTTCAATGTCTTCTGGAAGATGCTCAAACTCAGAGATATTCGAGATGAAGAAGATCGGAGAAAGAGGAGAAATTTTTACTACCAGAGAGCAAATTCATGGAGCAACAAAGATCATTGCTGCTGATTTACATCATTGAATGTAATTGTGTGTGTGTGTGTGTGTGTGTGTGTGTGTGTGTGTGCGTGTGTGTGTGTGTGTGTGTGAGAGAGAGAGAGAGAGAGAGAGAGAGAAGAGGAGAAGAAGGTGGAGGATTAAGTGGTGTGTGTAATAGTTATGAGTGTAAGGTATAATTGTAACTTTAAGTGTGTGGATTCAAAAATTTAATTAATAATCAAATTAATAAGTGTGTGTATCTAGAAAACATGTATCTTGAGCTAATTAAGTGTGTGGAAATAGAATTTCCCTATAAAAAGGGACAAAATCTTAAGTTGAATCTAACATTGCCTTTATCAAATATATCCCTCTACTTTCAACTTATTACAAGTTTACCGAGACAAGATCATTCATGCCTCCTTCCGTATTCTTTTAAATAAAATAATCACTAAATACAATATCTATATAATAAGGGAGAAGGGTTTTTGAATTTGTGTGAAAATGTATCAGAGATACATTTCAATTTAACAGCTGAAATGAGTTGTTTTTAACCATGAAGGGCTAAGATGCTTTGTGATATTTCAACGTCCCGCCCAAAACAATCCTTTGTCTCCTGCACCCAAACATTATTTGAACACACACACTCTCTCTCTCTCCAACTTCTCAGGTCTCAAGAGCTCTCTCTCTCTCTCTCTCTCTCCCTCCTCTCCACTGCTGCTCCGCTTCCACCATTACGCCGCCTCCGATCTCCACTGACAGCCACTTTTTATCTCCTCTCCCTCCCAGATCTCAGATCGTCCTCCGCCGTCACCATGTCTTCCTAAAGCAAACACAGAGAGATGGTGAAACTGATAGGGTTCTCTCTCAGATAGGGTTCTCTCCCACTCTCACTCCTTCGCATTACAACATGCAAACATTAGATCTCTCTCTCTCTCTCTCTACATTTTTATATATATGTGTGTATGTATAGGTGATTGATTTTGATTGATTCGGGGGTGAATCGGGTCCCGCCTTGCATCAACTGAATCGGAGACCGCCGTGAACTTGGTCCGCGGGGACTCGGTAATGAGGACGTTTCAAATCGTTAAATTTTATTGAATTGTTGCCGCTTTGTTGATTTGTGGTTCAAGATCAACTGAATTCGTTCATTTCTAGGTTTGATTTTCATTCTTTGGCATTTAAATTCGCTTCTGTAACTAGAGATTTGAATAATTCTATGGGGTTATTCATTTTGCCATTAATTCTGAATTGAGTTTACATTATCAGATAGTGTTTTATGGGTCTGGATCTGGGTCTTTTCTTGATTTCATGGTAATTGACTACAAAATGAGAATTTCATTGTCTTAGCTCTCAATATTTTAGCTTAAAATTTAAAAAACCAAAAAAAAAAAATTTAAAAGTAAACGACCTATACCAAAAAATAAAAAGAAAAAAATTTCTCTCTATTTTGTACAATTTTTCATAAAAAAATTAAAAAGTTATTCAAAATTTATTAATTTTTTTACCTTATATTTTAATAAAAAAATTAAAAATTATTTAAATAACTTATTCCAAAAGAGGTCTAATATCCTTTAAAAGTTTATTTATTTATTTATCTATTTGTGCATTTATTTTTTGTAGATGAGTTTTTGAATTGATCCGTTAGGTGATACTTAATTGGCTTAGGTATGTGATTGCCAAGGAACCCAGTTGCTGCAACTGTGTAATATTCTTTTTCTTTCTCCCATATATTTTTATTCTAGGATTGCCAAAAGGTTTACAAAACAATAAGTTGAAATTTGTGCTTAGCTCTGTACTTATTCCATAGTTGATCCTTTAGCTATTGGTTGACATTGTGTCATGCATTTTATATCTATTTGAAAATTGAGTACGTTGTGATTTCTGAAATGGGTTTGATGGGTTTTGATTTCTGAAATTTGAAATGGATTTGGTGGGTTTAATTCGCAGAAATTCGAAGTTAAATGGATTTCTAATTTCTAATAATTTGTCTTCCCAAAGTAAATGCAGAGAGATGGTGAAACTGTAAGTCTCAAACTTTAATTTGGTGTAAACTATTTTAATTTGTTGTGGTTAGAGTGGTTGTGATTTTTGAAATGGGTTTGATGGGTTTTGATTTCTAATAATTTGAAATGGATTTGATGGGTTTAGTTAAATTTGTATCAAACAATAATATTAGGAGTCAATAACTCAAAACACACCCACACAAATATGAAACAACATTTGATGATAAAGAGGATTACATGGTATTCTTATGTGTTTGATTTCTACTTTCAACTAGAAATTCATTGCTCTTATTGCAACCATGGTATTCTTCTTCCCATAAAATTGTTGATTTGTAGGTATATGATTGATATCCTCTGTGGTTGGAGTGGTTGTAATTTCATCCATAACCTATTTTGATTTGTACGAAATTATCATCCATCATGCGTGCTATAGGTATGATTTGTAGGTATATGATTGAACACAATAAAAATACTTCTTTTTTTTTTTTTTTTGTGGTCATGTGTCATGTGTTAATGATGAAATAAAAAAAAAAAATCATACCTACAAATTCATTTGATGAATGAATGTGTTAATATTTAGGATTTGTATAGTCAAGTTAGACAACCATGGTTTTAAATTTTTATTTTGTTAATTGTTAAGATTTGAATCTTTTTCAGTTAATTGATTTTGAAATTCACGACTTAATTGGTTAGAATTTGTAATATCATACGGTTCAAGCTTTAATTAATCTCATTAGCGAAGGTCTTTTTATTTTCTTAGAATTCTCCATTAGTATGATTTTTAATTTTTAATTTTTTCCCTTATCGTTTATTGTTTCAATTATGAAGTTATTTTCGAATTCCAACTTTGGTTTTAGATTTTGATATCTGCATTTTAGATATTTCTTCCCTCATTGATCTATAGGTAACATATTATTAGCTTAATGAAGAATACTATATACAAAGTTCTAAATTGAAATTGTATTTGTGTTTGTGTTGGAAAAATTAATCATTTTTTATTTCTAAAATGTGAAATGGGTTTCATTTCTAAATGTGTTTTGATTTTTGAATGTCTAAACTATGTAAACTGTGTTCACATTTTTTTTTTCCCTTTT